CTCTCTTTCTTTCTCTCTCTTTCTCTCTCTCTTTCTCTTCCTCTCTCTCACTCTCTTTCTCCCTCCCCACTCTCTCTCTTTCTCTCTCTCTCTTTCTCTTTCTCCCTCTTTCTCTGTCCCCCACTCTCTCTTTCTCTTTCTCTCTTTGTCCCTCCCCCCTCTCTTTCTCTTTCTGTCTCTCCCTCTCCCTCTCTCTCTTTCTCTTTCTCTCTCTCTCTCTCACTTTCACTTTCACTCTCTCTTTCTCCCCCTCTCTCTCTTTCTCCCTCCCCCCTTTCTCTTTCTCTCTCTCACTCTCTCATTCTCCCTCCCTCCCTCTTTCTCTCTCTTTCTCTCTTTCTCTTTCTCCCTCTCTCTCCCTCTCTCTCTCTTTCTCCCTCTCTCTCTCTTTCACTATGTGTATATGTGTGCTTCCTTCTGTATGTGTGTAAGAGAAATGTATTTATTTTGTTTTGTTAGACAAACCTCCATTCTGTATTGACTTCCCATCTTGATTTATATAGGTCCATTGTGGAAAATAGATCATATGTGCTATCTAATTACTGTTCATGTACCTGAATGTTGAAAACCCTATCTATATTTTGTACCTGGGAGCCATAACATTGTTAAAACTATACTTTTGAACTCATCTTGTAAAAAATCACTATAAGTTAGGGTTCTTTGGAGTACAGAAACCCAGTATGCAAATTCTCAAAGGAGGCTGTATAGTCAATAAGGAAACTAAAGCAAATCTGGACTCTTGCTGACTGTATTTATGGCTTGTCTCTCAGATTAGTTTGATGTGTTCTTCATGTTTCTTTTGAATAAACTCTGTAGTCTGTAATCCCAAAAGAGAGAGGGAGGGGGACATCCCTAAGCCTCCAGTCTAAATCATGCTAACCCTCTTTTCTAAAACAAATGCTACCTATTTTCGTGCAAAGTAAGTTGCATCGTAGGTGAGCTGTAATCACAGTACCAAATAAGAATAATAGACTAATAGAGCTGGAAGGTACCTCGGAGATCTTCTAGTCCAATCCCCCTGCTTGAGCAGGAGACCCTATATCATTTCAGACAAATGGTTGTCTAGTCTCTTTTTTAAAGCCTTCAGTGATGGAGCAAGCTATTCCATTGGTTAATTGCTCTTACCGTTAGGAAATTTCTCCTTAGTTCTAGGTTGCTTCTTTCCTTTGTTTCTTTCCAACCATTGCTTCTTGTCCTGCCTTTTGGTGCTTTGGAAAATAGTTTGACCTCCTCATTTTGGTAGGATATTAGAACAGTGCTATCATATCCCTCCCAGTCCTTCTTTTCATTGGACTAGACATCCCCAATTCCTTGTATGTTTTAGTCTCCAGCCCCCTAATCATTTTTGTTGCTCTTCTCTGCACTCTTTCCAGATTCTCAACATCTTTTTCACAATATGGTGACCAAAACTGGATGGAATATTTCAAGTGTGATCTTACTAAGGCTTTGTAAAGCAGTACTAGAACTTTGCTTGATCTTGATTCTATATTAATCCTTTATTAATGCAGCCTATGACTGCATTGCCTTTTTTGGATGCTGCCACACACTCTTGGCTCACATTTAAGCAATTGTCCACTAGGACACCAAGATCCCACAATGTACAATTACTGGCATTAAGCCAAGTTTCACTTAGCCTATATTCAGTAGGCCAAAAGAGATTTCCTGAGAAAAATGGTGAATGTATCTCCCATAAAAGATGACCCTGCTCACTTTTTCATTAAAAGTATTCTCCTCGATGCATTCTGAACGGTTACTCCAAACTTCTGTTGTGTTTTCGATGTTTTGCCAAATCCCTTGGTCCAAGCAGACTCTGTATACTTTCCTTGTGCTTCCTAAAAGTAAACAGACACAAGCTCAAAGGTCAAGCCACACATTTCATTTTTCAGCCGTGGTTTATTGCTGTCATCCTTTCATTGCATGCCTAGAAAGCCCAAAAAAAGGAGACTTGGCTTAGCGTAGGCAGCTCTTTGTAATGTCTGTTTATTTGGGAGGTAACTGTAGAAAGCTTAATATTTCTCAGTGGATTAACACTGTCAAGCCTGCATAATTCCCTATTTTTAAATCTTTTTACAAGCTTAAACCCATGGGATAAGACCATATTTCTTTAAATAGCTTTTAATATCTTTGTCATGCTTTAAATGAATTGCGCTTGAGGTTACAAAGCATTAATTAATTCAACATAATTTGGGTCTTTTTCTATTGGAAATAGATCTCTGGTCAAATGTGTCTCTCCATCTCTATTGTCTTTTGATATAATGTCCATGGGTAATTTAAGGCATCTATCTTTCCTTAATTTCAAATGTATCTCTTTCCTAAACACAGCTGATCATGAACAGTTTTTGCCAAAAACAATTATGTTTGAATACACATGAACACTTTTTTCTGTTTTCCATGGTTTTTAGATTGTTCCATATTGTTTCCCTCAGTTGATGTCACAATCATTTTGTGATGATCATGCTTATAAAAACATAGCCAACTGATCTTTCATTTAGCCAACAGAAGTCTTTCTAGTTCTGCTACTTATGTTCCCTTTGACTAGAAATAAAAAATGTGAACATATCAATCTTGTATTCTGCTTCCTATATCAGTGATGGCGAACCTTTTAGAGACCGAGTGCCCAAACTGCAACCCAAAACCCACTTATTTATTGCTGGGTGCCAGGTGGGCGTGGCTCACTGGGTGGGTGTGGCTGTGGTGGTTATGGCAGACTGGGTGGTTGTGGCCAAGGTGGGCGTGGTCACCTCAATGTTGCTCGTGGGGAGGGACGCCTGTGGGGGCTGGGCAGGGTTGGGGGAGATCCAGGAGGTCTCTGGTAGGTGGGGTGGTGGGCAGGAGGCTCATCCTGCAGGGTGAGGCAAGGCAAAGTGAGGCAGGGCAGGGATGCCATTGCTGCAGGGCATGGCGAGGCAGGAGCCGGGGGTGGCTGCTGCCTGACACTATCGGCCCCCACACACAGGCCAGCGAGCGCATGGGGGCCAACGGTGTCCATCAGCAACCACAGCCTGCCAGCCCCTCGACCGGCGCACTCTAGGGCTCCGCAGCCCGCCGCCAACAGTTCAGAGAAGCATAGATGCAGTGGGTCATGCCCAGGAAAAGGAGAGCATGCAAGGCCAGGAGGGATGGGACATGGGGGAGGGAAACCAGCCATGCTGGGATGCATCCGGCCATGTGGGACCTCGGTGAGTTAGAGGGACGGTTGCCATCTCTGGGGCATGGTGCGCATGCCCACAGAGAGGGCTTTGAATGCCACTCTGGCACGCGTGCCATAGGTTTACCACCACTGTCCTATATGGTTATGATAAGCATTAGCTAATACCATAAGAAAATCACTCCAGATTTGCCATGTGAAGTATTCAGAACTACTGGTAACTATAGTGAGAACTTTGCACTGGCATAGATGTAAAAATGTAATAATAGAATGCCATACCATATCTTTGCACCTGCTAAGAAATGATACAATTATTCCTATTGCAAAAGTGATGGGTACAGTACTTCTGAAGACTGCTAACTTTCACTCAATTTTGCTAACATGACTAGTGATGAAAGATGATGGTAACTGCAGTTCAGGATATGTGGAAAGTCAGAGATGCCCCATCCCAAATTTATGAACTTGGATGTTCAGTTTTAGGAACTGTTGCAAATGTAGGAAGATAATGAAGTTCTAGATTTTAGTACCACTGCTTTTATAATTGCTACACTCTGTACTGATGACAGCAGAATCAGATTATAATGCAGACAGTTCTCCAAAAGCTACTAGATACTATTAGTACAGAAGAACTTCATTTTAGATCATGTTATGCCCAATATAAAACTCCAAAAGGGAAGGAAAATTATATAGTGTATTATAATTTAGCATTTCCAAGTTTACATTACCACTTTTAAACCACGGTAAATAAGATGGACAAGCAACAGAGATATTTCCTGGTGGCGAATGAGGCCAGCAAGCAAACTGATCAAAACTTCCATTACAATATATTCCTGTGAAGGAGAAGGAGAGAGAGAATATTTTTGAAGGTTAACTAAAGTTTACAAGTAATTGATCACCAAGGAATGCAATATGTCTAAACTAAGCTCTACAGTGATTACATTTGCAATATGGTAACTTTGTATATTTGTTACTTAGTGTGTATATAAAATTACTATTTGTAACCAAGTTACCTTTCTGAAAACAGGTTTAAATACTGACCATAAATAGTATCTTAAGTGCACTTAGTTGCCAACTTATTTTTCTTTCATAAACCAAACAGATATTGTTAAGACCAGCCAATTTTTAAATGAAGCAATCTCACTTTTTATTTCTTTATCACAAACTTACTCTGCTACTATTTTCAACATTAACATTGCACCATGTTGCAAACCAACATGGTTGGCTTAGATTCCAGGTAGATAGAAATGGTAATTTGGTTTGGGACACTTAGCTTATTAAACTAACAATATCAAGACCAATCAAAATACAAACTGTCACATTGTAACCATGACAAATAAACTTAAAAGGCATTGGAGTGTAAATATAAAATAAATGTCTAGCCCCCATTCTATGCTTTACCTCTCTTTGTCTTTTCTTTATCCTTTTTTGTCTTTATGTACATGTTAAATGTTACATTTTTTAAAAAATCCTAACCATCCCTTTTTATATGTGCACTTTTTGCTTTGTTTTTCATTTTCAGAATTTCTCTGGTCACATGCTAAAAGGAAATACAATATGGTGAACCAGAGAAAGTAATTCAAATTGATCTCAAGAGGCCAAAAGGTTAGTCAGAAAGTTTAAAAATGAGTAACAATCAGCATTTGGATAAGTCAGATAGATAATATTTCAGCTAATTATCACCTTTGCCAGATCACAACTTCATGTTATATGTCAGTAGAATATAAAGTAGGATATCAAGAGAGAAAACAAAGAGAGAAATCAGGAAAGGTTGAAAACATGAAAGCAGCAACAGCAGCAGCAACAGCTCATTTTCTTTACTCATAGCAACCAGATAGATAAATTTTCTCCATGACAATCTATCCCTAACTTTGGTCTTTAAGGTCTTCCAAAGTTGCACTTGTAGCCACTGTAATTAAATCCATTCACCTTGCTGCCAGTCATCCTCTTCCTCTCTTTCCTCCCAGCATTAGACTTTTTCCAGATAGCTGGATTTTCTAAGTAAGTAGGCTGGCTTATTTTCCCATTTTATTAGGACTATTGTCTAGCAGCTCTTCTTAAATTCAGTATTATGTTTTATAAAATAGCCTCTAATAAAAGCTTTACTTGCATCCAAGCCATTCTTCGGAATTGAAGGAAAACTAGGGAATTGAAGGGGAACTCATCAAATTTGCAGATGACACCAAACTGTCAGGAGTAGCCAACACTCCAGAAGACAAACTCAGGATCCAAAAAGATCTTGATAAACTTGAACAATGTGTCCTATCCAACAAAATGAGTTTCAATGTGGAGAAAAGCAAAGTTTTACATTTAGGCAGGAAAAATCAAAGGTACAAGTACAGATTAAGTGAGACCTGGCTCAAAAACAGTAACTGTGAGAGGGACCTTGAAGTCCTAGTGGACGATCACTTGACTATGAGCCAGCAGTGTGCAGCAGCAACCAAAAAAAGCTAATACAATCCTGGATTGTATAAACAAACGCATAGAATCAAGATCATGCGAAATATTAGTACCGCTTTATAAAACCCTAGTAAGACCACACCTATAATACTGCAGCCAATTTTGGTCACTATATCACAAAAAAGATGTTGAGAGTTTGGAAAAAATTCAGAGAAGAGCAACTAAGATGATCAAAGGCCTGGAGACTAAAGCATACGAAGAACGGCTGTGGGACTTGGGTTTAGCTAGTCTAAAGAAAAGAAGAAATAGAGAAGACATGATAGTAGTGTTCCAGTATCAGAGGGGCTGCCACAAGGAAGAGGGGGTCATTTTGTTCACCAGAGCACCAGAGGGAAGGATGAGAAACAATGCTTAGAAACTGATCAAAGAGAGAAGCAACCTGGAATTAAGGAGAAACTTCCTGACAGTGAGGACAACCAGTGGAACAGCTTGCCTCCAGAAATTGTGAGCGCTCCATCACTGGTGATGTTTTAAGAAGAGACTAGACAATCACCTGTCTGAGATGGTATAGGTTCTCCTGCTTGAGCAGGGGGCTGGATTAGAAGACCTCCAAAGTCCCTTCCAGCTCTATTCTATTCTATTCTTAAAACAATACCTTCATTTAAAATTAGTTTCAAAAAATATTTTACTTTTGTTGCTATTGCTCCTTTTTATAACAACATTCCATTTAATCTCTGTCTAAAACAATTATATTTTCTTTTCTAAACGGAACTCACAGTTTAATTGAAACTAAGTTAATTGATACTAAGCTTTCAAAATGTGATTGGATGAAAGATTTATAAAGATGAAAGAAGTGCTGAAATAAGTCAGGAAGATGGAAAATTCTGTAAAAAAAAAAAAAGGTCTGGAGAAGTAAAATGGGTTAATAACAAAGTGTAGGAGAAGAAGAGGTAGAACCTGGGGTCATTGTCAAGAGTGGAATAACCCTAGAGTTGTTATGTTCCCACAAGTGATTTAAATCTAGTTTCCCTTGAATTTTGTTAACTTACCTAGCACCAGTTTAGTGCTGACTGTTAGTTGCCCAGATTCTCGTGCATAGGCTTGAGTAATAAGTAAGTTTGGCTGGAACTTAACATTTGATCCTGATTCTTTGCACCTGACACAAAGTGAAAGTTTTAGAAAGCAAGACAGGAGTGATAGACACAGAGAATTAGACAACTTGGTTCTATTGGAAGTAAGAATGAAGGAATTTTGTTTGAGATGTAGAGCAATTGCTGAGCCTTCTGGTGAACATATTACAGAAAGGATTATCTCTAGCAAACTTTTTGTATTGAGAATAGAAGAATAACGAGGCAAAAATTGATGCATTTTACAATATATATTCTAGATTTGCCAGAACTAGAAATCTTCCAAGGGCTGTTTTGGTACATTTTGTTAGAAAGAAGGCAAGGGATCTAATTTCATAGTGGCGTTTTAATACAAGATAATTGTTTTAAAAGAAATTTTAACAGGATTTTACACAGAAAAAAATGAATATTCTTTTTTTCTGACTGAAAGATTAAAGCAGAAAAAGATCTTTCCAGACTGGAAAGTATCATTTTTACTTTTCAATAGCAGATATTTCTACTGAACTCTGTCCAGAAGACAAGAGAATATCTAAAAAGATTTTAAAAATTGGAGGAGTTACGAATGGAGGTATCAAAAGAGGTTACACAAAAATCACAACAGATGCAATAAGAATCTGAAAGGGATAATACTGAATTAGATGCTCCATTTATCGACTTTTCTAAATTTTTGGCTTGATCATGGATTACAAATGCTTTATAAGAAATATAAATGGAGCAAATACTCATCAAAATAAAACAAAAAACATTATTTTTTTTAAAAAAAGACATTATTTGCTTTCAAGAGACTCATCTCAGAAAAAATATATAAAATACTTGATTTATAAAACTTTGGATGAAAAATTTATATCAGCAGGTGCAGAAAAAAAAGAAAAGAAAAGTTGTTTTGTACATTTATCCTCAACTAAAACTTTGACTGATAACCATGGTAGATTTGTTGGGGATGGAAGTTATTTTACATGTGGTTAAGACTTTGATATTAGGAATTTAGGGCTCAAATGAGAACCAAATATTGTTTTATAAATGACTCACAGAGATATTAATAGGTTTCTGTTATGAAAAAATTGTGTTTGGTGGAAATTTGGATTGGAGTGATTTCCCCGCACAGGACATTTGACAGGGACAGTTTAGGATTGGTTGATATATGGAGACAGAAAAATGTCAGTTCAAGAGAATATATGTATTTTTCAGAAGGACGTAGGTTTTTCTCAAGAAAAGATATGATTTGGATTTCAAATGATTTGGCCGCAAAGATTTCTGAAGTAGCGATATTACCAAAGAGCTTTTACTTCTAACAGTTATAATCTTTAGCTCATTAAAATATTGTCATAGGATTTGATTTATTTTAATTTCTTCTTTGTCCCATCACACAGATTTCTTTAAGGCTTTAACAGGCCTCTTTTGTCAATCCAGTAGGTAGAAATTATCTAGGTCACTCTTCTGGTTTGTCATTTGTAGTTCCCCTTTAAATTTTAAAACTTTAGCCAATTTCTTGTATAGATCCAGTGAAACATCATTTCCTAAATCATTCTCTTGACCTGTCCATTTTCAATACCATCTCTACTTTGTCATATTAAATTTATTCTACATCCAAGATGGATGTTTCTAGTAAGAGGGAATCACTCACTATTCAGCTGAAGAGGAAAACAACAGCCAATCTGTCTTTTCTACTTTTGCTCTGAAGCCCCGGCCCAGCCTCAATGCGTGGAGAACACTGGAACATGCTGGGGGCATGTAAGAGCTCTTATATTCATGGTGGTGGTGGTGGTGGTAGATGGTGGTAGATGGGTTTCTGCCTTACCTGTGTTAATTGTAGACTCTTGTAGTCTCTTCAAACATTCATTTTTATACGTAAGCCATTTAGCTGTGGTTTGCCCAAAACTTCCTTTGACCTATAAGTAAAGAAAACATATTTAGCATCTGACAGGATCCTGCCAATTGCATGTTAAATGAAGTTTTGAGTGCCCACAACCACAACCTTCAATTGTCTATTCTGCTATTGAGAAAATGTTTACCCCTGCAACCTTTGAACAATGAAGTAAACAGGACGTGTTAATTGCCAGCCGCTGAGTTTTTGACACATACTGTAAGCTTTTCGTATCCCATTAGACACTATGGCAGCTTAGCAAAATGGCTGACTTTTAACATCTGACATGAAACAGAATGTTACAGTATGACAGATTGAGACAGCTAAAGTAGAGAGGCTAGGCTTAAGTGAGTCAGTGTCATTTAAGACAGTATTTGCACAGTTCAAGCATGCCTCTCTTTCCCGTCCAATACGATTTGAGATGACACATTGTCAATACCATTGGTCAGGCAGCTCAAGAGATTAAACTTCTGCTGCCTCTTCTGTATTTTCTCTGATGCTCTTTGATATACCAGCAATATCATTTCATCTCAACCTTTCTTCAAGAGACTTGCTTGCACACCGTCAATGAGAGGTGGGGTGATGAACTTGCTTCTTGTTTGTTTTGTGGTCAACTGGATGTCTCTAAGAAGCTCGCCAGTGGGACTTGAGAGTACATTTCCTGCCCAGAAAATAGAACTATAGAGACATACCACCTCTGAAACTGGGAGAAAACATTGTGCACATCGTCAATTATTTTACAGGTACTCGTTGTTTACCTATGGTTTCAAACAGGATTTCTGATGCTAAGTGGCATGGTTGTACGGCAATGTGCCAGGGTGACCACTTCGCTTATGATAACAGATCTAGTAGTTCCATTTGCCATCATTAGTTGAATCTCACACAGACACACAACCTATTTGTGACCCCCTGCAGGCTTCCCCTTTGACTTTGTTTGTCAGAAACTGGCAGTGAAGATCACAAGTGGCAATCACATGACTCCAGGCTGCTGCAACATGATAGTATGAGTCACAATCATATAAGATAGGGACACTGTGACAGCCAGCTTATCAGGACCAGTCATAAGTATCCCTTGTTAAGTGCTATTGCAACTATGAACAGTTGTTGAATGAGTGGATATTAAATGAGGATTGCCTGTATTGGTCAGATTCCAGTCTGGTCATCCAGAGAGGGCCTGTAGAAATTTTGCTTCCTTAGTGAAGTCTGCAAAACCTTTTCTGCAACAGCCCTCACTTTGTGGACCCTTGTGTCCCAGAAGAACATGCAGCTCTACCTTGCTGCAGTTTCGGAAACAGATTAAAATAAGTCTTATTTCCAAATGTGGTTTCAGACCCCGCTGATTGACTCTAGGGGCCCACTTTGCTGTTTTACCTTTCGTGATTTTTTAAATTATTATTTTGATGTTCTGATTTATTGGTTTGTTTATTTGGCATTTTGTTTTGCTGATGTTGTATGCCACCTAGAATCCTTTCAGAGAGAAATATAGAGATATAATTACTAAAAACCAATAACTAAAATATATCCTATTACTGTGATAAGATGACTTCATGGGGGTAATAACAAACCAGAAATTAGGTGGGGAAATCATACCTAAACCACAACATGCTACAACAAAAATATACAGATAGTTAAAATATAGGTAGCAAAAACATCTTTGATATTACAATGGTTTGTGGCCCTCCAAAGCTCAATCCTTCCCAACAAAATCTTATTTCTTAGCATTTAATTCCTTTTGTTGGGTTTTGGTATCACACAAGCAGCACTGAGTTCATGAAAGATAAACAAAACATATGCAAGATTAGCAATGCAAAGCTAATAGATGTGAGATTGGAGAACTTTCAATTGATTGCTCAATCTTGAAATCATATTGCGAATAGCCTGTCCTGTTGGTTTCCATGGGCTTCCTTGTAGATGTTGTTTATGGTGATTTGAAATGGCAAACGTATTTCTGTTTTCTGACATCTTGTACAGTTGAAAGTAGTTTTATTTGAATAAATAGTATATTAACAAACGAAAGACATAGAATTGATGTATGTTCAAGAGGAGACGTCAGAATTAAATTGACTAACCTCATACCAAACACTGAACTTTTAGATAAAAAACACCAGGCTCAAGAATCCCATTGAATTGTTCTTGGGTATGTAATTTTCCTTTGTAAACTGCTTAATTTAAATGTTACTTTCTCATATCAAGCAAATGTTAAAAGTTGGCAAAAAATTATTCCTAAAAAAAAAAACAATTTAATTTTTCAATTGTTTTACTATTGCTGGAAAATAACAGTTTTGAATGTTTTTTTTTAAAAAAAGATTAAATTGCTATAATTATTATGTATTTACATAAAATCTTAATTTGTATGCATAATTTGATACGTTACAAGTTATATAAGTAAATAAATTACATTTACCCAGCAAACACAGTTATAAATTTACATTAAAGGTTAATAGTTTTTTAATGTTTAACTTTTAACTTAAACATCCTGTTTAGTTATTTTTTTTTCTTGCATTGCATAAAAAAAAGTAAGTATGTATAAAATTCAACAGTAAAGTACAAGTAGTTAAGAAACATGCTGGAGACTAGCACCTCATGAAACCGACATGAAGTTCTTGGAAAAAATATTTATATGCTGTGATGTGTCTGTAGCTACAAAGATCAGAATAGTGCAAACCATAGTATTCCCTCCAATACTCTATGGAAATGAAAACTGGACTTTGAAGAAGCAAGATAGGAAGAGTATTGAAGCCTTCGAACTTTGAATTTGGGAAAGACTCCTGAGAATACTGTAGACAGCCAGGAAAACAAACAAATGGATCATCAAAAACAATCAACCCACAATTACTCACTCAAGGAACAAATAACCAGGCTTAAATTATCCTACTTTGGACACATTATGTCAGGAGACCTAGCTCTCTGGAAAAGGCACTAATACTGGGAGGAAGAGAAGGAAAAAGAAAAAGAGGATATCTAGCAGCAAGTGGGTGGATCCAGATACCCTGACAATGAATGCACTATTGGAAGATCTTAAAGACCAAATTAGAGACATATCATCATGGAGAAAATATATCAATATAGGAGTTGACCCAGACTTGATAGCAGTCACTATATAAAGCATAATGAAAAAAAAGTCCTGAAACACTGAACTAAGGTAATATGAATGATCTCCTGGGCAGTGAGTTAAATGATGTATATTTAAACAGGTATCAGTTTCACAAGGTGGAGCTCATAAAAGTTATCTGTAAAGAACACCAGATTAAAAATGTACTTATGTCTGAAAGCTAGAGACATCTAAAAAAGTAGTTATGACCTCTGCCCCATCATTGGCCTGTCCAAGATGAGAGTCTATTATATTTTTAAACTGACTTAAGTCTGAAAAGGAGATATCTATGAATGTCCTTTTGGATACATGATATACAAACTGAGACCCTAATTTTAAAACCGAATGAAACGTACAATCAAATAGATTGATCTGAGGGACCATACTTATTTTTGGCACTTCGCTGTTTGTGATGTTGACATGGAAAATGATTGCAGGCCCATTTAATAGAAAGAATGGAAACTGGTTATTTATAACATAATATATAATCTGTGGTTTTTGATAGTAGCTGTTTTGCAGATGCGATGAGTGTTGCTTGTGATCAAACTCTTCCATCTATGCTGTTTGTCTGCCTACTATAACCTCTGGTTTTAAATAATGACATATGATAAATGGTCACTATTTGGGTTACAGACTAGTGTCTGAGATGCAACCTGCTCAGGAAATACATTTTAGTAAAAAGTTAACTAAGAGATATCTACATTCCAGTGTAATAAATTGATTTAACACTCATGGCTTTTTCCTAAGATATTTTGTCAAACTTTACTGGGTAAAAATGAAATATCTTGGTTAAAGGTCAATATCTACTTCAGGCAACTACTATTCTGCGTTAAATAGGTAAGAATCCTTCAGATAGCATGGTGTTAGCAATTAAAATATAGTAATAGGAGAAAGAAGATTTGGGGTCCTCTCTTATGCCCCCAGGCCATCTAAATAGTCTTAGGACAGTCACAACCACTCAGCCTAATAAGCACCAAGCTCTGTGACAAAACTGGTTGCAACACAAATCTCTTGTTGTATCATGCATCAATAGCTTCCCTGCATGAACTAGGTGGATGCAGTACCAAAAAGCTTCATACCAAGTGGGACAAACATTTAGAACAACTTCATAGAAGGACTCTTCCAAAAAATAAATAAAAAAGCTTGCTGGATCAGGCCAAAGTCTATCCTAGTCAAACATTTTGTTTTTCAGAGTGGTCAGCTAGAGGCCTCTGGTATACATAAATATAAGAAATGGAGACCCCTACGTTTTCCCCTCGAAAAGGTATTTGATGGCCTGTTGCCCACTGAAATTTCAAGACTATTAGCCATTGATAGAACTGTCTTCCATGAATTTACCCAACCCTCTTTTAAAACTATTCATGTACTGTAATGGTGATCACCATGTGTGGTGACAATTATTTTCAGAAATTAATTATATGCTATGTGAAGAAATACTTTTTTCTAACAGTTCTAAATTTCATTCCAATCAGTTTCTTTGGAAGACCTTTGGCCCCGGTTCTGAGATGCAGAGAAAAATTTTCTACGTATTTCCTCTATGCCTTGAATGATTTTCTACATCTTGATCATATTTCTCAGTCATCACTGAATTCCAACTGTATTCCATGTTTGTCTGTTTTCTTATAAGGAAAATGTTTGAGTCCCCTATGCAGTTTTCCAGCTTCATTATATCCAAATGTAGATGTCTTGCTCTCTCTCTGTTCATACACACACACACACACACACACACACACACACACACATGCACATGCACACACACACACAGAGAGAGAGAGAGAGCAAGAGAGAGAGAGAGAGAGAGCATTGCAGTGTTAGCTATTTAATTTTTATTGCCTTTCCTAATGATCTCCAGCACAGAATTTGTCATTTTTTCATATAGTTGTTGTCTATTGAGTTGAGCCCAAGAACTTCTTGATTTGTTACAGACATCTCTGATCTCAGGAGCATTTATGTGAAATAGCCATTTTTACTCCAGTGTGCATTATTTTAAACTTGAATTTGCCATTTGACTACTCAACTAAATTCAACTACACACCAATCAATTTAACATCAATACCTGAGAAGCTCCTAGAAAAGATAATCAAAAAACAGATCTGCGAACAACTAGAAGCAAATAAAGTTATAACTAGTAGCCATCATGGGTTTGTTAAAAACAGGCATAGAATCAAGAACACATGAAGTATTAGTACCGCTTTATAAAACCCTAGTAAAGACCACACCTGGAATACTGCAGCCAATTTTGGTCACCATATCACAAAAAAAATGTTGAGAGTTTGGAAAAAATTCAGAGAAAAGCAACTAAGATGATCAAAGGTCTGGAGACTAAAACATGAAGAACGCCTGCAGGACTTGGGTTTGGCTAGTCCAAAAAGAAGAAGAAATAGGGGAGACATGTTAGCAGTATTCCAGTATTTGAGCGGCTGCCACAAAGAA